TGGGAGGATCAAATTGGAAATACTTAGAATTGATTGTCCCTCGTGAAATTAAATGGCTCAGTGGATCACTTTGATATAATGGAATCTCACATAATTCTGAGCTTCCAAAAAGGTGGCATTCTTACCCAATTCTAACAGTCTGTGCATTTTCCTCAGTATTGTGCTTGCTAATTTAAGTATTTGGAGCTTAGTATCTATTTCCTATAGTAGTTTTTATTCAATTAAATATACTGCCACCGGATAGCATCTAATTAGAGAGAATCTTTGTGTATAGGGATTAACGTTGTATATTTGTCTTAGTTGTGCATCTAAGAGTTTCAGTAAATATAACCATATTAAAGTTTAAAGGGAAAATGACAGAAAATTTCCTGTCTCCACAAAAATGCTCTCTCCATCTTTTTTCACTTTCTCTGGCCACAGAGGGAGACACAGCTTAATTACTTAAGAAGTTGCAGTAAAGGCAAAATCTCAAAAGTGAGATTTTAGAGTTACAACTAAAATTGTGTATCAGGATTATTCATCTTGCTTGTTATAATGGAGTGCGGACTTAGAAACCTGAGCAGTTTGACCACCGAGTTCGTGGTAGTGATTTTTTTTTTGTAATTAGTTGCACATGACAATACAATGATCTCGACATATCATACATTTGAATCAAATGGGGTATAATTTCTCATTTCTCTGAGTGTACAGGTTGCAGAATCACATTGGTTATACAGACAGTATATACATACAGCAATACTAGTGTCTATTTGGTAATGATTTTAACCAAGATGCTTACTAAGCTGGAAATGTTCCCTGACACTTTAACACTCTCCTCCCTTCACAACCTTTGGGAGCATTTTAATAGATATATGAAATTTTGATGAAATGTCCTATCTTTCTTTCAATTTTAAGTTCATTTGTTCTTTTTGAGACTGATTATGCAGTTCAAAAACACTAGTGCTTGAGAGGAAAGAATATCTTTGGACCTGGAGTATGACCAGTCTTAAATCATTGCAGTTCTTTAGGTTTTAATAAGGATTTTTGGTTCACTTTTATTTTCTATAGGAATTCAATGAGAGTAGTTGATGACCAATAAAAATAATGCTGTAATTGCTGAGGAAGACATCAGTTAAGATTATTTGTTGATAACTCCAGTAACTTTGTATTTTATCAGGGCCTATAATTTCATTAGCATTGATCTAAATAATTGAAGGGAGATTAACTATGCAAAATTAAACAGTGAAGGAGAATTTAATTCATTAACAGTTTAAAATGGTTAGGGGTAATTTATGCTTTTATTCATTGAAAAGCAAATTGTTTGAATTATTTTAATCAGCTAAAATGTAGGATTATGACTGATACATTAAAATTTTGTAGGGTATTAGTTGCTGACAGTCACTAATTCAGAGTCTGCCAGTAATTCTCAGCCCTGGTTACAAATTAGGATTATTACTTGAGGAGCTTCCAGGGAAATTAGATACTAGCTAAAATACTCAGACATCAGTGTTTTTAAAGCCAGTGTATAGCCAGGATTAAGAATCTATAGTTAAACTGGGTGTGGTGAATCATGTCTGTAATCCCAGCAATTTGGGAGGCCAAACAGGAGGATCACAAGTTCAAGGCCAGCAAGATCCTAAGCAACTTAGTGAGACCCTGCCTCAAAATAAAAAGGGATGGGGATGTGGTAAAGTACTCCTGGGTTAAATCCCCAGCCCATCCTCCCCCAAAGAAAAAAGACTCTATGGGTAACTGCCCTTAATTCTGCCAACACCTGGAAAGGATGAAGAGGTAGGCTTTGTTTAAAATCTTGTGTCTGATGATCTTGTATTTAGGACTCTATTTTTGTTCAGTATTTTTCTACTTATGGGTCTAGAGGCAATCAGGAAACAAATTGTGCTTCCAACAACTGTCCATTTTTTGTGATTAGTGAATACATGGGATTTTAAGGTGGTAATAGTCGAATAAGAGTACCATTTGATTTTTACTGAAAGGTTAATTTTTGCCTTTTAAAAACAATACTCAGATTATACTGTAAAGATACACATCAAGAATACAAGAGGGTGATTTTTATCTTTTTTTAATAGAATGCCTTTATTTTATTTTTTTATGTGGTGCTGCCAAGGATAGAACCCAGTACTTCACACATGCTAGGCAAGCACCCTGCCCAGTGAATTGAAATTACTATGTTGGTAGAGGTGTGTATGTTTGAGTGCAGATCCTTGCAGTGACTATTGTTAGATGATGATATTGAGGACCTTGATGATATTGAGCCCCAGCCCCTGATTTTTATCTTTTATAAAGAAATTTAAATAACTTTTTTCTCAGTTAATTCCTATATCTTAAGTATACTTTTAAATATTTTTGATACTTTTTATGTAGCACGTGATGTGTCATTAAAACCGAGTTTGTGGGGCTATGGCTATGGCTGTGGCTCAGTGCTAGTGCACTTGCCTGGCATGAGTGAGGCACTGGATTCAATTCTTTGCACTGCATGTAAATAAATAAAATAAAGGTCTATCAACAACTAAAAAATGAATTAAAAAAAAACAACCCCGAGTTTGTGCTGGTTATAGTGGTGCATGCCTGTAATCCCAGCAGTTTGGGAGATTGAAGCAGGAAGGTCGTGAGTTCAAAGCCAGCCTTAACCAACTTAGTGAGATCCTAAGCAACTCAGCGAGACCCCATCTCTAAATAAATACAAAAAAGGGCTGGTGATGTGACTCAGTGGTTAAGGGCCCCTGAGTTCAATCCCAGTACAAAAAAACCAGAGTTTTTGCAATGCTGCAGTCTGGCTGGGCACAATTCAGGAGCCAATTGTCAAAAGAAACAAACTTTATTTATTTATTTATTTATTTATTTTTAATTTAAATTAAATTTTATTTTATTTTATTTTTTTTATTGGTTGTTCAAAACATTACAAAGCTCATGACATATCATCTTTCATACAGTTGACTCAAGTGGGTTATGAACTCCTCCCATTTTTACCCCAAATACAAATTGCAGAATCACATCGGTTACACATTCACATTTTTCCATAATGGCATATTAGTGACTGTTGTATTCTGCTACTTTTTCTATCCCCTACTATCCCCCCTCCCCTCC